CCCCTGTTTAAATAAACAGTCATAATGTCTAACAGTGTTTTGGACAATTCCACTGGATTATCCACTGATCTACCAAAAATAGTTCCACCATGGTAAAGTAAACTTTTTTTAACATTTATGCGATAGAGAATTAAAAATTGAATAAATAAATTTGTTTTTAATATAAATTTTTGAAGTAATTTAAGTGAGTTTTAAAATAGATGGAAGTTAATAATCATTTCTTAAGTGATTATATAATGCCCTTAATGTTGAAAAATGAACAAAAGAGCGTATAACTATTTCTTGTGCAAACACTTAAAACCATAATGGAATTTTTCAAAGGTAAGATAAATTATAAGTAAAAAAAAAGGTATTCCATTAAAAAATTGCCAACACTGTATAACAACATAACCATCAACCATAAATGATATAATTGGATATTGGTGATAACTGTTACTGATAAACTTGTTTTTGATGTCACAAAAAGTAGCTTTGTACCTTTTAAGATATGTGTCTAAGGTATATCAACTAAGGTTCTTTCAGTTGGATTAGCAGTTGGAATCTGAGTGGAATTTTTCCTGTAATAATCTTAATTTAGCTTTAACCCTAAAACTCGGCCTTCTGGGTTATGCAGTCATTTCAAAATTATTTTTCAAAGTTATGAGGTTTAACTGACCTAATGAACCTGAGCTTCCCGTACTTTTCCTAACTTTATGATATGTTTATTATGGCATGCAATGCTGATTACTCCACTGCTGGGTAACAGCCTGCCCCCATCTCAAGTATAATACATTTATTTCAACTTGCCTTGGGTGATGCAGCCATAACTATGGAAGTTATATACTGAGTTATGTACTTTAGACTAGTTATTTAATGAAATCACTGTAATGAATTACATTTAGGCTCAGAAATTTTTTTTCTATACATAACAACAAATTATATGGATTATATGTATTTATTTCTGATATTTAGTACTCAATTAGAAAAATATAATGAATGAAAATATATTTGAATGTCTGGCAAATTTTGATTTGGAAAATGAATCTTTGAGAAGTGAATTAGAAGATATTGTTTTTGAAGATGACAATGAAAACAAAAATTCAGATATAGTAGAACATGATCTGTTTAGAGAAGAGTATGTTGGCCGCAACAGAAAAATTAGGAAAACAGCAGTAGATAAGCAACGTGGTAGATCAGGAAATTTGATATATTATAAAAACTTACAATTTTGAGCCCTAAAATTAAAGTATTATAACTTTTAGTTTAAATTTTGATTATTTCAAAGTTTTTTGATTATTTTTGTTTTACCATATTTTCCAAAAATAGATTATAGTTTAGACTATCCAAAAAAAAGTTATAAATTGTAAGGAATTATAGCAGGAGATATGTATTTACGTCTTTCTTATGAACAAAAGTTGAATGTAAAGCCATCAATGTTGAAACTAAAGAATTTTTACAAAAAAAGAATAAGATTAAAGAACTTTACAATTTCTTGCTCAAATCTCCAATTTAATTAAAAACAAGACTTACTTACAAAGTTTTTGATTGCATCAAAAAAGAAATAGCTGAATTTGAAGGATCAAATGACTATCCAAAAATGCTTTAAAAATTGCACTGTACTTTAAAATTTTTATCAGCATCATCAATTGTTACAGATTTGTCAGTTGTGATATTTCTCCCGCTACCACGAAGTGGTTTGGTTAGCTGTAGCACCACCTGTTTCCATGCTCTAGACTTTTTTTTTTTATTATTACAAATTTGAGAACATCTTTGAGTGATAAATTGATAGAAATTTTAAGTTTTCAGCGTTCTTGAAAGTTTAGTTAGGTTATGATTTATTATATCTATATAGTACAATATCACATTAAAATGTTATATTAGATGTAAATTTTCATTGATTGAAAAATAACTAAAATTACTTAAAATTACTCAAGCTACTTAAGTAATTTGAAAAAAAGTTACTTAAAACTACTTAAGTAATTTTTTTTCATTACTTAAACACCCATAGGCAATGCAACATGTTTCTCAGAGACCTGTGGAATGACGAACTTGGAATTTCTGCCTACAAAGCCACAATGTCTTGTGAAAGGTTTATTTAGAATGCCCACACTTTGATGCCACAAATATGGCATCAAAGTGTGGGCATTAACTTGTTTAAAGTCTTGCTACTTTTATAATGTTGAGATTTATTTAGGAATGATTGCTAGAGAAAGAGAACTAGGGAAATGGAAAAAGGTGGTGCTACAGCTAACCAAACCACTTCGTGGTAGCGGGAGAAATATCACAACTGACAAATCCTTCACATCTATTCCACTAGCCAAAGATCTTCTAGCACGGAACCTCAATCTGCTCGAACCCTAAATTGAAACAAACCAGATATCACTCCCCAACTACTTCTTCCTTGAGTTCAATATAACTCTATAACTGTGTATTCTGAAAAAATGCAGGTAGTGAGCTATATTCCAAAAACTAACAAGGTTGTTACCATGTTGCCTACTTTCCACACATCTATGGAAGTGTCAGAAGAAGCACATTGAAAGCCATTTTTGATCCTCCAATACAATAGTACTAAGTTTGGTGTAGATACAGGTAAATGATCCAACTAGCTCATGCATACACTACACAGTGAAAGATAAGACTAAATAAGTTTTAAGTTTTAAGTTTAAGTTTTTTTCCTCATGGTTTTTATATTTTAATAAACCTGTATTAAAATTATAAAAATCATAAGAACATTACAATGGCCAATAACTTTGTTTCTAGACATTGCAATGACCAATGACTTTATTTCTAGACATTGCAATGGCCAATGACTTTGTTTCTAGATATTGCAATGGCCAATTACTTTGTTTGGCCATTTCTTTGATCTTGCTGCCATTAACTCTGTATTTTGTTTCTCTTTAACAAGCCACAGTGGGAAGGTGATCAAAATGGATCAAAAAGACAACAGCTCTTGCTGAAAATGAGCTAAAAATGATAAAAACAGCAATGGAACACCAAATTATTGAGCATCCGAGAGGGGCAAATCAACCTGGCCCTAGACGCCCCATTGCTTCTATGTTTATAGAACAGAATATTCCACCCCAAGATGCCTTACTCAAAATTAGAATATTATGTAATGTGTGTCAGCTCCATCAGCAATGTGTCTTTACAAGATGTTCCAAGTGCACTAAAAACTTGTGGAGACCACAAATTTTTCAAAAACACAATATACAATAAATGATGTTATTTTTAGTTTAAAATAAGGTAACTAAAAGATTTAATAATTTTTGTGTTAGATTTAATCTGGCCATAACTGGTTTTTAGGTTAAATTTCTGGTGTTATAGTTGATTTAAGAACTCCTTAATTTTATTCATTTTTGAAAAGCCAAATTGAAATATTGTTAATCTTCATACTAATCACTAAAGTTACTTGAATTTTGTAACAAATGTCGTAATTCAATTTTTATAGTGCTTTTATGAGTACTTTTAATAATTTTTATCTTGTTATAATTCATAAAACTATATACATTGAATTATATAAAACTTATAAAGGAGACTTGCCTAAACCCATTATCATACTTGCATATAGAAATTTATATACGTGACTTTTGTTAAGAATTATATATATATTAGTATTTTTAATATTTTTTACATTACTTTAGTTTATATAATTATATACAATAAATTATTTAAAAATTAAGAGAAACTTACCTGAACCCATAGCGCTGTGGGCAAGTGCTCAAGTCTTTTCGCGCTCACCCACCGCCCGCAAAAACTTTGCGGGCGGTGGGCATAAAAAGCCACTTGCCAAAAAAATAAGTGTTTTATTTTTAATTGCAACAAAACTATTTTGTTCATTTGTTCAACTTTTATGAAAAAAGATTTTTTTTTTTTTTACCAGTTCTTTTAAATTATTTTATTTAGTATTTATTCAAAGCATTATTTTCGCTATTTTTATTCTAATTTAAATAGCAGAAAAAAAAAAAAAATTTTAATGCGCAAGCTAACTTAAAAATGATCATCCCGCCAGCACTTTTTCATGTGTTGGCATTAAATTTCAAAGGGAGAAGACTGAAACAGTATTAGTCCAATATTTTCATTTTTTTGATTCAATTATCATCCTCACATATAGAAATTTATATATATGAATTTTGTTTTTTGTATTAATTTATTAATTAGTTTATTTATATTTGGCATACCTTGACTTATTTACAAGTCATCTTTTGTTGGTTCAGAATATTAATTTCATTAATTTGATGCAGCACACAACAAATGCGTGCTGTGACACAACTTAGTCATAAATAAAAGAAGACTATTAAAATAACTCAGTGTCACCAAATATTGGACAGCCGAATACTCTATGCTTCTGATAAGCACCTAGCCAAATACTCACTATTTGTGATATCTCTTAAGTGATATCATAAATTACACAATAAAGTCATTTGATCTTTACTAAACTTGATTTTATTAAATGAAATGATTTATCTCAGCAAAAACAGAGAATAAGTTAATAGTATAAACAAAAACCAGGAATAGAACAAAACATTTCAGAGATCTAAGTCTAAACATAACTATGCAAAATATTGTATGCTGTACAATTCAAAGCATGCAACATTATTTCAACATATGAAGTGTGTTGAAAAGAAATTAAAATAAACTTTTATTTAAAAAAATGTTAGAATGATATTACAAGTTAATCATAATAAGGTGTAACAAGAAAGATTAATGTTTATGGAGGAGATTAATGTGTTATAGAGGAGATTAATGCGCTATGGAGAAGATTAATGTGTTATGGAAAAGATTAATGTGTTATGGAGGAGATTAATGCGTTATGGAGGAGATAAAGATTTAAATATATAGATTTCAGCATGAAGAGACAAATAGCAAAAAAATAAGATTAAATGAAACAACGTTTCCCTTAAATATTAGTGTAAATACATAAATGCAAACTCATAAACCTAATAACAACACAATAATAACAATAATTAAAAAAAAAAAAAAACATTACTGGCTAAATAAATGAAGAAAACAATTTTTTTTACTTTTTTACTTAACTTTTTCTTTGTTTTCTTTCTTTTTTCTTTCCTTTTTTTTATTGTTGCTACTTCTTTTGAGTTTAGTGATA